GATCTCTTCCAGTCAGTTGGCCAAGTGGTTGTTCTCCAGATTTCTTGGCACAACTTGGTGAGCACGTCCAGGGCAGCATCTGTTAACTGAAATATATCAAGTCCAAGTGACTCCTAAGTAATCTTTTTTTTGAGCACAAAAGCTGCCCTCAGAAATAACACCACTACCAGGATTGAACTGCTCTTCCTCCTTCACCAGGATGCTAGAAGCTGATACTGATCAAAGCAAACCAAGTGTCCACAGAGTTGATTCCAACTCTTGACAACTGACAAATGCCAGAGTTGAACTAAACTTCAGAGGCTGTTTTCCAAAGTAGACTACCAGACGTTTCCTTTGAGGTTCTTCTGGGCTGATTTGAACCTTCAACCTTTTGAGTAGCAGCTGAGTACACTGCATCACCAGGAGTAGGTGGAATTAATAAGGATGGGGGAAGCTCTCTGGCCAAGATACAGGGGTACTTTCAACCATAGTAAAGAGCCTTTACTGTTTTTTGTTGCCTCTGAAATCCCACTGGAGGGTCAGCTATGGGTAGTTCTTAGTCTACGATACACCACCATCACCACAACCACCAGAGTAGACCAACAGCCTTGTTTGTGGAGGAGTGACCCCTGACCTCCAGATGTTCTTGAAGGAATTTGAATTGTTTGGGTAGAGACGAGTTAACAGTGATTGGTCATGACTGTGAGGGTCTCAGGCTGGTCGGCTACTAGCAACCACTATTCTCAGGAAGAGAGATCAGATGGATTTTGCTGTCCTGCTTTAGATAGAAATCTGGGGGTGCCTCTCCCTGACCTACGTCATCACAGCCGACTTGTAGAACTCCTACGATGTCTGCTGGCGAGACATCTTGGAGAGCAAAGCTGGGTCTCTCTGATCCTTGTAAGGTCATGGAAGAGATTGCTTCCCAGGAGAAGAACATTGAAGCTCTCGAAAAAGCCATCACTGACCAAGAAGGGCCCGCCAAGGTGGCTCACACGCGCCTGGAGACCAGGACGCATCGGCCGAACGTGGAGCTGTGTCGCGACAACGCGCAGTATAGACTGATCAAGGAGGTCCAGGACATCAGCCACAACATTACAAGGTGGGTTTCTTTGTCTCCTCCTAGGCTTTCAGTAATAAACTGAACCGCAGATTGGGTGGCTTAAAACAGCAGGTGTAAGACTGAGAAAAACTGGATGAAATATGTTTACAGCATTGAAGTCTATGGGGGAGAGAATAGTTTAAAAGTATTATATTTTAGGGCATTATGTTTATCGTAGGAGTATGCAATGAGGGTTGCAGAGTGGATTATATTTGGGGTTGGGGTTGGGATTAGGGGAGGTGCGGGGGGATTGTGTACCAATGGGGGAGTTTTTCTTTTGCTTTTCAAGGAGAGGAGCAAACGGGGGGAGGCGGGGAGAAGGGTGCAACAATGAATGAATGGAATTCCAAAATCTCTGTAGATGTTCATTGAAATGAAAAATAAATAAATTAAAATATCAGTGGGTTGGCCGGGCCATTCTCCCTCTGAATTCTGGAGAGGAAGCCTGTGCTTGTCTCTCTCCCAGCTTTTAGTGGCCCAGGGCACTCCTTGACTTGAGGATGCATCTTTACAAGCCTGTTCTTCCTGTCTGCCTGGCCTCTTCCCCCACCCCCCACCTTCTCTTTTATAAGGACACCACTATGGCTTGGAGCCCATTGAGCTATGACCTCATTTTAGTAACTTCTGCAAAGACCCTCTTTCCAAACAAGGTCATGCTCACAGGTCCTAGGGATTAGTTAGGATTTGAACATAGTTATTTTGTTGTTTGTTTGTTTTTCAGTTATAGTTCAACCAAAAACTGTATGCCAGTCACCAGACAGTTACTAGTGGGCTTGATTTAAAGGCAGATTGTAAACAGAGGCAGGCTGTGTGGTCCTGAGTGAGGCCAGGTGGAGTGAGGGTGTCTTTGTCTATAATGTTTGATTGGTTGTTTCCTAACTTGACTTCCGTCTCTACCAAAGCTAGCCAGTTGCTGCCAAGGAAGAATTTGGTCCCAGTGCTTTATTTTTTTTTTCTAAAAAGCCCCCAATCCTGGTATTTAGCTAACAATTTGAGTTTTTAAATGTCATTCATGGGAATGAAGTGTGATGCATCTGGCCCCTAGCCATCCATTTGACATCTCTGTGCAGCAGAGAGGATTCTCTATTGAATGCATAGATAGGTTTTGGGGTGGGTTTTTTTTTCTTCCCCAAAGAAAGAGATTCAGAGTGCTAATTTGTTCCCAAATATTCTTTCCTGCCTCTTAGATTAAAGGACACATTAGCCCAAGCTCGGGTGGAGCTGAAGGGGCTGAACCGCAGACAGCTTGCCCTGCAGGAGGAGATTCAAGTCAAGGAGAACACCATCTACATCGACGAGGTGCTGTGCATGCAGCTGAGGAAGTCCATCCCGCCCCAGGTTGGGGAAGAGCAGGGGGGCTGGGTTGGGGGCCTCTGCCCAGATGCTGTCTGCTAATAGCAGGCCGAGTGGGCAATTCTCATTAAACTCTGTCAGCGGCAGCCACACAGGCTCTCATTTCGGCTCACTATTAGCTCTGGGCTGTGAGTGCAACCTGGCTTCTGACACCTTAAAGGTCTGGTCTGCTGTTGCTGGTGGCATGGTTGGTGGCTGTTTAACAGTGAGATTGTGGATAGTATTAGCACTTGGACCACTTGTGTTAGAGAACCTGAGGCTTTGGCGGTGGATTTGGTTAAGTTCAGTGGTTGGGCGGGATCCCAGACCCCATGACCAGCCTCCTCATGAGATGACATGGAAGCATTGCTCTTGGTTCTCAAAGCCCCCTTTTCCTAGAAGTCTGTGCATTCAAGACATGCAAAAACGTGCATGAAAGAAGAGCAGGCCGCACTGGAGGCCTCTCAAGTCTTTCCAGATATTGTAGGCGTCTCTCTGGCCTTCCTTTCCTTAGGCTGAAATGAAGAGTACACCTTCCAACTCAGCCTTCCATCGCAGGGGGAGCAGCCGAGGAGAGGGCGAGCCAGGTCGCCATTGTCTGGGGTTATGAGGCTGCAGAAGGGGGGCGTCTCTGACTTTCCAGGTTGGAGGGGGATGTGAGAGGGCATCAGTCGGCGGGGGGCGGGGGGGGGGGTTGGGGGGGGGGGGGCGGGGGGCGGGGGGGGTTAGTGGCAACTGCAGGGTGGGAAGGGGCGTAGCTCTGATAGAAGCAGTGACGAGTGAGGTCACTCGTCAGGACCAACATGGTCGGGCTGGAGGGGCAGCTGATGAACAGCACAGATGCACAGCCCTTCATCAGAAGCTCCAGCGTCAGAAAGGAGACCAGTGGTGAAGGTCCCCCTAGTCTCTGAGGCAAGTCTTTCCAGCAGACAGCAGAGCACGCCCTTTAGCGCCACCGTGTGGTAAGGAGCTGTAGATTTTATTTTCCTAAATGTCCAAGCTGACTCAAGAGTCAGAATTGGGTGTTTCTAGACCAGTCCGCGAGCATTGGGAACGTTCAAAACAAAATCCAAACAACAGTGAAAGAAAAGAAGGGAAAACGCCTCCCATTCCTGCCGGAGATTCAAATTCGTGGTTACGAGTACAGACTCTGGAGTCAGACATACCTGCGTTCAAACTCTCCAGGGGTGCCCACCTCCTGTGGTGTCTAAGGGGGCAGAGTGAGGTAACCTGCCTCCTATGGTTATTAGCTGTGCTCATGCAAAAGCTATACCAAGACCAAGAAGCAGCTGTCTGAATAGAACAAGGGAACACTGCATGGTATAAAATCAGGAAAGGTATGTATCAGGGCTGTATCCTTTCTCCACACCTATTCAGTCTGCATGCTGAGCAAATAATTTCAGAAGTGGGACTCTATGAAGAATGTGACATCAGGATTGGAGAAAGACTCATCAACAACCTGTGTTGTACAGATGACACAACCTTGCTTGCTCAAAGTGAAGAAGACGTGAAATGCTTGCTGCAGATCAAAGACTACATACAGCTTTCAATATGAATTACATCTTAACACCAAGAAAATGAAAACCCTCATCACTGGACCTCTATGTGGCATCATGATGAATGAGAAGAATGGAAGTTGTCAACACCCTTGGGGTTTTTTAAATCAGTACACGTGGCGGCAACCATGAAGAATTCAATAGAGGTCTTAAATTAGGTAAATCTTCTATCAGGCACTTCTCCAACGTGCTAAAGAGCAAGGATGTCAGTTTAAAGACTGAGGTGTGCCTGACTGAAACCATGGAATATTCAATGCTTCCTATGCATCTGAAAGTTGGACAGTGAATAGGGATGGCAGAAGATGAATAGAAGCCTTTGAATTGTGGTGTTGGAGAAGAGCACTGAATATCCTGTGGACTGACAAAAGATCCCTAGACAACCAGGGAAAATGCAACCAGGGCGCTCCTTGGAGGCAAGGCTTGTGAACCTTTGTCTTACATACTTGGGACATGTTGTCAGGATGTGCTAATCATTGGGAAAAAAGGGTCATGCTGCGAAAGGTGGAGGATGAGTGAAAGACCCTCAGTGAGATGGATTGACACAGTGACTGTATCGAGGGGCTGCAGTGTGTCTGAAATTGCAGTGGCAGCTTGGGATAGGGGAAGGTTAGGGTCTGTTGTCCACGGGCGGAGTGACCATGGCACTTTACATCAACAACAACATGGTGACCGGGGGACAGTGTGAGATAAGCTGGGGAAGGAGTTTCATGTTGACCTTTTGATCACATACTCCCTTCAGTCAACCCTGCAGATGGTCAGCAGAGTCCAGCTTTGGCTCCAGTTTGCAGTGGCCTCCATAGTTTCCCCATGAGCACTGAGTCTTTTAGGGGTTCAGTTCTTCTATGGCTTATGTAGGCACACCCTGCCCTTAGGCCACCCCAGATAATTGATCCCTGGCTAATCATGGTGACCTGTCCCATTGCGCCTCTAGTCTACAGAGTGATTTCTCCTGCATCGTCTCATCAGATCGTCATAAAAAACTCACAAACCAACCTTAGGAGATGTTGTTATCCCTAACTCTATTTTATAGATGAGATGCTCTCCTTGAAGGCAAACAGAGCAAAGTTCATTCCTCGTTCTTCTGCTTACAAGCTTTGTGACTTGGAGAAGTTGCTTAGCCTTTCTTTTATCACATATATTATACACATTTTCCTATAATCCACACTGCCCTTTTCTGAGGTAGATTTTTTCTCCTTAAGTGTCCATATACCTTTGAAGCACATACCTAAGATATGCCAAGTTTTTGTTGTTTTTGCCAAGTCATTTAAGACTTAATTTTTTGTGGAGGTCATTATTAAATTCCAAACACCATTTATGAAAACACCTGGACCACAGAGTTTTACCAAGATGCTGTTTCATTCAGTTATAGACACAGCACAATATATGGGATCAAGAAAGGCTAGTGTGGGGGTTTTTGTCTAGCTCTGTCACTCACTAGCTGTGTGCATTTGGTCACTTAGCCTCTTTGTTCATCTTTTTTCCTGGTCTGAAGTCAGAAGCACGCACCTTGCAGGGCTGTTGTGAAGACAAAGTGAGATATTGTTCATAAAGCATCTAATATTGACCCTGATATTGTTTCCCGCCTGGCTGACTCACCAGTGGGTTTGCAGAAGCAGTAAATTACATGAGGGGGAGATTGTCCATCCTGCTCTCTGAGAGAAGCTTGTGGATTTAACTGCATGCATTTAGGATTGCAGCACAGCTTCTTACCACAAGGCCACCAGATCTCCCCAGTTCCTGATGATGATGTTGTCGGTGGTGGTGTTATGTGCTGTCGAGTTGCCTGCAACTCATAGTGACCCTATGTACAACAGCCCTAAACTCTGCTCTATCCTGTGCCAATCGCACTGTCTCCAACATACCTATCCCCATTACCCCAGACACTGAATCAATCCATCTCATCAAGGGTCTTCCTGAGCTGTCCCTCCACCCTCCCAAGCAGGACATCCCTCACCAAGGACTCACCTCCTTGCAGCATGTCCAGAGTATGTCAGAGGAAACGTCAGAATCCTTGTTTCCAAGGAGCAGCCTGGTTTCACTTTCTCTAGGATGAACCTATTTGTTCTCCTAACAGTCCATGGTAATTTAGTACTCTTCTCCAACACCACAGCCCAAAGGCATCAATTCTCCTTCTATCCTCCCTAGTCATTGTCCAGCTCTCTGATGCATAACAAGTGACTGCAAAAAGTCTTTCCTATATCAAGCACACCTTAGTCACCAGACTGACATCATTGCTCTTCAGTACTTTGGAGAGGTCTCTGACAGCAGACTTTCCCAGTGCAATTCATCTCTTAATTTCTTGGCTGCTGGTGCCAAGAGTGTTGATTGTGGAGCCAAGCAAACTAAAGCTGTGAACAATCTCAGTCTCTTCACCATCTACCATGATGCTGCCAATCTGCCCAGTGGTGAGAATCTTTGTTTCCTTGATGTTGAGCTTCAATTTATATTGAGGGCTGCAGTCCTTGACCTTCTGCAGCAAATGCTCAGGTCCTCCTCAGTTTCAGCAAGCAGCAGGGTTGTGTCATCTGCATAACGCAGATTGTTGATGAGCCTGATGTGGTAGGTGCTTAATAAATGCCTTGTTGTCATGAATTTCTAATATTATTTCTAATATAATATAGTTCATATATTTCTAATATAATAATAATAATAATAATAATAATAATAATATTTCTTGAAGAAAACGTATTTTCAGTTTCTGTTGGGCTGACCCTGATCATGAACAGCGTATAGCTGAGCTCCATGCGGTTGTCAGTGGCAGATCTTTCAGATGTAGATTGCCAGTCCTTTACTCTGAGGTGCTTTTGGGTGAACTCAGAACATTCACCTTCTCAGTTAGCAGCCGAGCACATGGAACAATTTTCACCTCCTGGGGGGCCCTCCCAGTGGCTGCTTGCATGCACCTCTGCAGGACCACAGGTTTGCAGGGCACCTCGTAAGACATTTGGGGGCTCTGAGCTTTTGGCTCTGTGGCTAGCTGAGTGAGAGCAGCAAGAAGTAAGACCAAACAACACAGAAGAACCACCCCCAGAGAGCTGGTAGAGTCTGTACTTTAACATCACCTGCAGCAGGTTTCGCCGCACCTACAGCCCCAGTCTTTGACGGGGTGCTTTACGTTGGTGTGGAGCTGGCAAAAATAAAAAGGAGGGAGAGAGAGGGGGAAAAGGGGGTGGAGAAAGGCAGAAACACCCCTCGTGTAGACCCAACCGAACCCAGTTTTAAAATCCAAAGTGCTTTCTCTGGAAGACACTCCTTACATCATGGGGTATGCGATGACAAAATAGTTGAGCTCTGAATCAATCAGCTTTTGGTAAGTCCTGTAAATTTCCCGCAGAGTCCTATCCTCCTCGTTTGTCTCATATTGGTTTGTATAAATTCTCACCTGTGCCGAGAGAGAGAGAGAGAGAGAGAGAGAGAGAGAGAGAGAGAGAGAGAGAGAAACATCCAGGGATTCAGGGATTACATCAGACCTGCAGCTAGGGATGGAATCGGAAAAGGCCCAGATGGACCAGTAAGGGAGAAGGTTCTCTTTCCATGACAGCCCAAGTTTTTGTTGGAAAAGTGAGATGAGATTGGAGCTTGAGGTGTCCCCTTCCCCTCTGAGTCATGTGATAGAAGCCCCCTGCCCTGCTGTTCCCCTCCATGGAACCGACCCCTGGGCACATCCTACCTTGAGTGTGCGCAGGGCACACTGCCCCTCCTTCTGACTCTTCAGGATCCGTTCCACGAACGTCACATTAAGGAAAGCCCAGATTTTTAAGTAAAACAGCTTCCTGCAGCTTAAAATGAGAAGATACAGCTCCTCATCAAGCGACTCGTGGATGTTGTTGAACTCAAAAGTTAATTTCTGGAAAACCGTGAGGGGGGGAAGGCATTTGTGAAGAGAGATGGTAGGATTGGCCAGCACTTCCCATCCCCTTCCCATGACCTGGTGGTGCTGGGAGTTCAGGGGCTTCAAAATCTGGGAGATGAGAGTGTGATCTCAATCCAGTCAGCACAGTCTGGAATTTGGACACTGTGCATTTGTGTCCAGAGACCGGGGTTCTGGTCCCAGCCCTGGACGAAAGGAAACTGATGGCACCTGCCCTGCCCACCTCAGGGCTGTGTGAAGAATCCAGTGAGCTGTATGTCTTTTAATATCAATGGCCCCAAACTTCTATAAAGGGCTTGAAAAGCCAGTTGACATTTTCAAAGCCTGTTGGGTGGCTTCCAATTGCCAACTTATTAGCAGATGAGCACACACTGTGCCCCCCAGGTCTGTCAGCGGGCTCCTGAAGTCAACCGCCATCTGCCATTGGTTGATTGTGAGTTGTGGTGACCCTCCACTGGGTTCTGGAGGTTGTGCATTTTCTCCTGTGGAGTTTGGCTGGTGTGTCCAAACCACAGCTGGAATGCCCTGCCATTGTCATTTTCAAGTTCAGTCTTTACCAGCTCTCTGGGGGTGGCTTTTTTTCCTGATACTTGATTTTACTTTCTGACACCCTTGCTCAGTCACCAGGCCCCCCCTGTGGGGTCCTTAGGAGGGACAGAAATGGCCCTGATTTGAAAGGTAGAAAAGCTGCCAGATTAGAAGACAGCCAGGAATGCCTCAGCCCTTTAGTGACCTGAATCTAGTTTGGCTTTTGATTTGATTTGGTTCATCCCATCATACACGTCCCGTTACCCAGTGCTGGAGGTTGATCTGTGGGATACCTTCCCCACCAAATTTCTGCTGAAATCCTGACCATACGCTATTACTTACTTATATGACTGGGTCTGTTTGGCCTCGGGTGGAGCGGATTACCCTTCCCAATGCAGTGCGATGCAGTAAAATGTAACAAGGTCATCCTCCATAATACAGTGCAATATAAAGACTCTGCTTTGCTCACCCTACAGGATCCTAAACCTGGTTGCTTCTGAGTTATAACAAAGAACGGTATAGACTCAGACATACATATTCTCTCTCTCTCACCACACCCCCACACACACCCCACACACCCCAACACAGGGAGGGAGAGGGCATGTAACAAGAGCATCATGAAACACCCAGAGTTCTGACAAAGAAAAAAAATCCATGCATGGCTGGGACCCTGATTGGGGCTTTCAGGCTCCAGAACTGTGATTTCTGTTCACTAAATCTACCCACTTGTGGTACTTACGTTGCAGCAATACTAGGAAATTAAGGCATTGTGTGTGCAGCTGGAGCCAGACAGGCCCCTACGTGGAGCCGACCACAGGAGCCACTGTCTCCTGCTATGTATGAGCTGGTGGAAAGGTGGGGACAGGTTGCCAGCCTGTTCCTTGCCCACAGGGACACTTTCTCACTCAGACCTGTAAACCCAAGTCGGGGGACAGGAGGCTCTTGTTGGTGACAGCCAGCCAGAAAACTCGCTGAGTTCTAGGTATAGCAAACAATTACCAACTCAACTCATCGTCGTCGGGTCAGAACCAACCTGCCACTGACCCTCCAGCAGGTTTCCAAGGCTGTCAGTCACACAGGAGGAGAGGACCCATCTTTCTCCTGCAGAGCCGCTGGGGGAGCTGAACCACCAGAGAGGTGACCCCTTTGGGTTACCAGCTCCACGCCCTACACACTGAACCACCAGAGCTCCCTAACTTTTGTAGTCTGCTCTGGTCTTAGGGAATGGGGGGGAGCATTGACATTGGTGACTGCCCAGAGCCTAAAGTGGAATGCAGAGTCCCAGGGTGATAGAAGGTTACACTGGTAACATTGCCCAGAGCATAGTCCCAGGGTGGTAGACGGGATTAGCACACTTTCTTCCTAACCAAGAGTCAGCGGTTCAAGTCCATGCAGAGGTGCTCAGAATAAAGGGCTGGTGGCCTGTTCTAGAAGCCCAGCCACGGAAAACCTCCTAATTATACACCACCACCCATAGTAGGGTCGCCATGAGTTGCAATTAACAGAAATGGCCACTGATTCTAAATTTGAACGTGAGAGGGACTGAGTGTACTTATTCAAGCCTGGTCAACAGCAGGGCAAGAGTGGACTCCTCCCTCCTCCCTTGGATTCAAGATACCCGAGTCCTTGCAGCCTCCCCTCCATCCCCAGCCCATACCTACCTGCAGAGTGTGCCGGAACGTGGGCAGGAGGTCCGTCAACGTGGGCCGCATGGACCAGTCTGGGTCACTGAAGTAGCAGCTTCTCAGACTGATGCTCCTGACTGGGACCTCTGGCAAGAGGATCCGGGCCAAGCGCTCATATTTCATGATCCGCTCAAAGAAGAAGTTTACCTTCAAGTGGGTAGCCTGCTTGGTCAGCTTGGCCCAGGACATCCCCCAGATGAACTGCCCATGCGGGTCATGAATGTGGCACTTGATGTTTATGGTCCAGAGGGTACTGGCATTGTTCTCACACAAGTTCTCGAGCAGCTCGTCGGAGATACAGTTGTAGTTGAGGGTCAGGGACTCCAGGTTGCAGAACGTGGCCATGGTCCTGTTGAACTGGGGGCTGCTGTACACAGCGAGGTGATGGCTGAAGAAGTCCTCGATGTTGAGTTCTGTGACCAAGCTCTCATTCCTCAAATAGCTCAGGGAGTTGAGAACATGACAGCCTTGCTCCACTGTCATTCTAGCCGCTTTCATGTTGAGATAATCCAAGTGTCTGCCCATCTTCTTTAAGAAGAAGCTCAAGCTCTTGATGAACGAGCCCCTAATGCTGTTCCTCCAGACCAGGCGGTCGAGTTCAAGGTGCTGGATGGAGAGAGACTTCAGGCGATTGTTGCTCTTGCCCAGACATGACAGGAGGCCCCTCATGGTGACCTGGAACTTCTTGGTCAAGACAGCATTGTAAGGATTCAGGAATTTGATCTCCAGGTGCTCCAGATAACGGCCAAATTTCTTCACATACCAGAGAGCTGACTCGAACTCAGATGCATGCACCCTGGAAGGCCTCCCGCTGAACGTGATGGTCCTGTACCGCCAGAGGTCTGCTGAGTACATTATCTGATTCCATTTTCTGCACACTTGGGCCGCCTTCGACCGGTCCCTGTCCCCCAGCCACCAGAAGACACGACGTAGACACACATCAGGCAGAGAGGCCCAGTAGCTCTGGTCTGGGGGAGGGCTCAGTTTGCTTTCGTCATCCATCAAGAAACCAGAAGTGCAGGACAGCTGTGTGGGAGGCCAGGCTTCCAGAAATGAGAGAAGGAAAGCAGTCACTTGTTTTCTGTGGGGAGTGAAAAGAAAGAGCCATTACGTGTCAAACAGAAATGGGAATTCAACCCAACAAATGTTTACAGTGATCTCCTGTGTGGTAGGAACTGTCCTGGGTGCAGGGTCCATAACAAATGCACGCTACAGGCCTAGTGTTCAATTACAAATGGTGAAATAGGTGAAAAAGCAAAGGCAAATTTGTGGTCAGGGTCAGCACACATGGAGGGTGGTTCATTCTGTCTGGGTAACGAAGTTGAACATGAGCCTGTATTTCTCGCATTGGGTGCCTTGTGTGTTCCAGCATTTCAAACACCAGCACAGGGTCATCCATGGTGGCCAGGTTTCAGGAGAACTCCATGGCTAGGAAGAAAGGCCTATTTCTTAAAATGAGCCAGAGAAAAACCTTATAAATAACAACAGCATGGCCCAACTTGTTTGCTCTGGCCAGACAACCAGGAGCGGTCAATCAGTACAGGAGAAAGTCACGTTTGGTGAAAGAGAGGGCCAGTGAGGTTGCTGGAATTCCTTGGTGAGATGAATCAGCACAGTGGCTGCAACCCTGAACTTGAACATGCTGGTGGTTATGAGAATGCTGCTGGACTGGGCAATGTTCTAGTGTATGTGAGATCATCCTGTTCCACTGTCTGCTCGATGGCATGTATCTCTATGTCTCTAGCTCTATCTTAGGAGAAATAGAGAGGGTAACTCAGAAGAAGTCTGAATAGCCTAGTGGGAAGGAGCTACAGTGGCCATCCCAAAGGCAAGCAGTTCAAATCCACCAGTCGCTCCATGGGAGAAAGATGGGCAGACTCCTCCTGTTCAGTTTGCTGCCTCTGAAAACCCACCGGATGGTCAGCTATGAGTTGATTGCGACTCAGCAGAACACCTCAGAGCAGATGACATCTGAGCTGGATTTTGCTGGATAGGGAGGATTTGCAAGGCAGACCAGATTGCTCTGATGATGGCAGTAGGGGAACTGGACATTCACATATGTTATATTCAGGGAAGTGAAAATTGTTCAACTGGAGTTCAGCTTGTAACAGAGTTAAGTCAGCACGACACTGGAACTGAAGAAGGGAATCCAAGTGCTAGTCAAGACCCTGAAGCCCATGAGACTCTATCCCAGGGGTCAGGGATTCCAGCTGTCTCCCTCCCTGAGAATTTTGAGTTCTGACATGGCCTGCCCCACCTGCCCGGGATGAAGATGACCATATATATTAAGGCCCATTGCTGATGCTTGTGTTTATATGAAAGACCTGACACAGCAGAACAAGGATGAAGGACCACAGCTGAGGTCACAGGGAGCCAATGAAAGTTGGAAGTGCTGTGATCAGCTTCGATGACATTCTGCAGAAGTGGAGGATGAATGGCTAAGAACAGATACAGGTCCTAATGTCTGGGGCTTGGCTGGGACATTGTGGCAGGAATGACGAGGAGGAGGGGCGTGGCTTTGAGTTCTTTGGAGGACACAATTTTTGGTAACTGGCTGAGTGTAGAATTGGGAAAGACCAGTTAGGTTCTGACTGAAGCTTGGACTCCCAGGGTTACCACCAGTCAAGCTGGGGAGCCCCGGGGGAGAGCTGTCTGAAGTCTTCCTGAGTCCTGGGTCCGGCTTTCCAGAGACATCTGTTGAAATTCTCATGACCTTTTTTGCTTTCAGCATTCCCCTTAACGGAAAACTCCCTTGCTTTTTCACTCACCAAACCCTCCCTTTCCTCAAAGTTCATGTCCTGTCCTGCCATGAAGATGGTCTTGGCCACTTTACCAGCCGGCCAAGACTATGAATCATGGTTTATTGAACATTCAAGACTAGAAGCAAACTGAAGCCTCATTTCTTTACAAATAAAACTGAGGCACAGGCAGGTGAGGGTACTTGGTCCAGGGTCACAAGGTAGTTACAGGACCCAGGCTCGAACCTGGGCTTTCTCTCACTCATGTGTTTGAAGTCCCCACCTTTTGGGTTTCAAGTACAGCTAGGCCGAGCTCTCACACGTCTCAGTTCACTTGTTCCCTTTTAGCCCTGTGTCCCACTTCATTGGCCCCCTACCTCCACCACAAGATACTCTTCCTGTGTGTGATGTGCATCTTCTCGTTTGTACATGCTTGCCAATTGTGCTTGAGACATCAATTCAGGATGCTCTGTGGACATAGCATTCATTACTTCCTTGGGCTGAATAGCATCCACACGCTTATTGTTCAGTGCCATCGAGTCAACTACAACTCGTAACAACCTTACGAGCGACCAGTGTGAACCTTGCCTTCTCCTGCGCCATCCTCATGACCTCTGTCCTGCTCAAGCCCAATGTGGTAGTCACTGCGTATATCCATCTGGTTGAGGTTCTTCTGCTCTCTCTATGGGCAGATTCCTCCTGAAAATATGCCCAGTGTAAGGGTTTATTTTAACTATTATTATTTTTTTTTAATTCTCCCCTTCCTTGTTGTGTACTGTCAAATCTGATCTGACTGGCGCAGGAGGAGATTGCCCCTCCTTCTCCAATGGAGCATCTGGAGGATTCGAACTGCACACCTTCAGGATTGCAGCGCTGCTTCTTGCCAGTAGGCCACCATCTCTTTCTCCTTGTAAGGGTTTAAGTATCCCTATTTTTCTCCTCTCCATTCTCCCTGGTCTTTATGGATACCCACATGTCCTCCAGTTCCTGCCCCTGTCAGGTGACAGAGAACAGCGTCAGCATGCTCTTGTGTGGTTCTAAGCAATCTTCTGAAAAATTAACTTTTGCCATTTCATTGCGTCCTGAACAAATCGGGTCCTGCATTCTGCTGGTTCTCCTTTCCAGGCCAGATTTCCAGATAGAGTTTCACAGCAGCTCATGCTCACCTACGACGTGGAGCTCCGGTGGGTTCTCATTCCTCCTGAATCCACATTCAGCCTGTCGTCTTTCTCCTCCATCCAGTCTACCTGCCGCCCCCGCCCCGCAGTACGTTCCCTCCCTGCACTCACAAGCAGGCTGTGGCAAGGCTCAGCCCGTTCCTGTTGTGCCTCAGGAAGAAGATGGGGCATCTCCTCGTGTGCAGTTTACAGCCATTGAAAACGCCCTGGATGGTCAGCTATGAGTCTGTTACGACTTCATGGTAATGACTTTGAGTAGGTACTTAAACATTTAAAACATGAACGGAGTTGTCCCTCCAATCACATGTTATCTGCCTGTGGCCAAGGGTCCTACACAGCACTCAACAGAGAGCAGAAATACCTCATTGCTGTTAAGTCAGCATTGACACATAGCTGACCCCCCCACCCCCACCCCTAGCACTTTCAGAAGTAGCAAATCGCACAGGAGGAGATTGTCCATCATATTCTCCAGCACGGAGTTGTTGTTTGGTGCCATCACTCATAGAGACCCTGTTAGAAACAGATCTGAACCCTGCCCTATCCTGTGCCATCCTTGCCCTTTCTGACCTACCTGAGCCCATTGCTGCAGTCACTATGCCCAAGAAAGCTAAAACCGTGAAAGCAAACGCCTGGCCTTAGCAAAGTCAGAGTCAGATGCTGTCGCTGCAAGCCACAGGACAGGGTGGGGAGAGCATCTTTGGTGGGCTGCCAAAGTTGTTTCAAGTTCCCCAGTAAAGTCCCGTGTAATCTTTGGAACTCCCCAGACCTCCTTAGCAGTGAGAAACAGTGTCCTTTTGAGGGCTGAGTCCTGACTCAATTATTTAGTTGTACATCTTTAGCCAGATGACTTAATCTGTGCCTCAGTCTCCTTTTCTGTAAAACAGGGCTGACCATAGCATCTTTCTCCTAATTTTGGAATAATCATATCTATCTGTTTATAGCTCTGGTGGCCTAGTGGTTAGGAGTTGGGCTGCCAACCCAAAGATACATGGTTCAAATCCACCAGCTGCGCCATGGATGAAAGAGACCCAGTCTCCTCCTGTGTAATTACTCCCTCTGAAAACCTGCCGGAGGGTCAGTTCTGACTCAACTATACACAACAGTAATTGTATATAATGAACTGATATGTAGAAAGTTCCAGAACGGTTCCTGTTGCTGCAGCATTCCTATAAGGAAGGTCTCCACACACTCATTGTACAAATGGGAAAACAGATGTGTCTGATGGTTAGCTTTTCCAATGAGAGTGCACAGTCAACATGGGGAGGGATTTAGAATCCTTGTCTAGACAGACTAAGGCCAGAACAGGATGGAGCAAGAGTTCCATGTGTGGTGTCCTTACACGTCTGCATCAACTCTCCAGCGCCTCACAGCAACAGCAACAAGGACTTGGAAGCTTGGTCTCCCTTTGGCTAACAGGGGAGGAAACCTAGGGACATTTCATCACCAGGGGAAACGGGGTGCTCTGGAAGCTGGTGGAGTAAAGTTGCTTCCAAGAGAAGGGCAGTGCCTTCTCTCCGCTCAGGTCCTGGGGCGCCTTGGGGGCCCCCTCTGGCCCGAGCCCGCCCTGCGCCCGCGCCCCCGTCCCCGTCCCCACGCGCTGTTACCAGCTCGCTGCTCCTCGCTCGGCCGGAGCCCCTCAGCCAACGCGGGGCTGGGGCTGCAGGGACCGCGAGCGCCTGCCTGCACTCCCCGCGCGCTGCTGCCCGGATACCAAGTCCACGGGCGCCCGGTCTGCGCCCTGCCCTCGCGGGGCCTGCATCCCTGTCCCGGGCCGCCTTTGTGACGCGCCGACAGCTGTGGGACTCTGCTCACCCCCGCCGCTCTCAGAGGACCAAACCTGCAGGTGCTGGATCAGTGATGGTGCATGTGGAGGAGACAGGCCACGCTCAGCCTGTCCCGGAAGGCAGCACTGTCTGCAGCTGGGAGGAGAGCGCGCTCTCGCTGCTGCTGCTGCTGCGTGCAGGGTGAGAGAGAACGCCCCCCTCTCCCCCGGCTCCTTTCCGATTCTTTCAAAGAGATATCTTGCAAGGAGGTTCAGGCCAGCTCCCATTGTCTTTTCCGCCCTGGCCCTCTCACATCAGGGATCCTAGCTTGTGCGCTCTGCTGGCGTTCCACTTCCTCCTCTGTAAGCAAGGCCTCCAAAGGTAAACTTTAACCTTTGCTGGCCATGCTCTCCCTGGCAAGGGCTGGTAGCTTAGCACATCTCCCTGAAGCCCAGGAAGAAAGGCAGGAGGGTACAGCCTCTCCCAGCTGCTCACCCTGGCCACCTGCCCTCGCCCACCGCCCAGATTCACTTCTCTCCAAGGCTTCGTTCCCCTCAAGGTTTCTTGTCTGCGGCTCTCCTGTTCTTTTAGGCTGCTGTCCTAGCTGCCGACAGCCCTCGGCCCAGAAATCCAACAAAGGTGAACAATAAGCCTTCAGTGAAGGTGGTTTTTATTCTCCAGGGCGCAAAGTACATTCCCTGCAGCATCCCTGCTTGAACCACCAGTGCTTGGTAAGAATGGAGGATCTGGAGACGTTCATTCTTGGGTTATCTGAAGCCTTTGGACAAACCGTTATCTGTTCAAAAGAAGGAAAATAGTTTTAATCAAACCTTTTGGTGTTTTAGGGTTTTATTTTAATCCCCAGCAAATAAAACCCATCCTTCTCACTATTAGACTATAACGGAAAAGAAACAGAAAACCGTTAGAGGAACATAATCATCTAAATCCTTAGTACCTTTTTGGTTTCAAATATCACTGGAGTTTCTCAGATGTTTTTCTTTCCATGGTGCTAACTGCAGGCATTTCTCCTAAAAAATAAATAAATAAATAAATAAATAAATAAATAAATAAATAAATAAATAAATAAATAAATAAAAATGGATAGAAAAGAAGTTGAACGTCTTTAAAGGGGGAACAGTTACGACTCAGCCCATCAGATTAGAGCTGTGCTTCATACAAGTTGATGGTTTAGAAGTTGATCACTAGCCATTTCCCCTCCCCCTTCCCCGAAGTGCCTCTGGGCAGCCTTGACCCTCCAAACTTTAGCATCTGAGCACATTAACCTTTTTATTTTATTTTATTTTTTTATTTTATTTTATTATTTTTGTGTGTGTGTGCTGCCAAATCGGATCTGACTTGTACAGGAGGAGATTGTCCCTCCTTCCGCGGCAGAGCATCTGGTGGATTCGAACCGTGCACCTCTGGGATTGTAGTGCAGCTTCTTGCCAGTAGGCCGCCAGAGCTCCTGCACATTAACCTTTTATACCACTTGGCTCCTGGTCTATGCCTTGTGCTACAGGTGCCTAGAGGCTCGGGCCTGAGGGCATGAAAAAGACAGAAGCCACCAAGCGGAGAGGGATGGACATGATGCTCGAGACAATATTTACTAGAGGCTTGCCATCAACAGTGGAATTCTTTGGGTATCGCTGAATGGTAACATTATGATCAAAGAAGTATGTCTAAATACTGTAGAATGCGTATGAAGATCCAAGAGGGAGGAGGAAGCAGAGGGTTGGGGGGCGTCAATCATAGGGTCTCACAATATGATGGGTGGAGGGAGGGGTTAAGGAAATGGGAAAGATCCAGTGTGAAAAGCAATGTATATGAACTTTGTAAGTATACCAGTATAAAAGAAAAATTTCATTTAAAACAAATTTTAAAAAGTCTAGCTCAGCCTTCAGAAATGGCTCAGGCTCTGGGAGATAAAGCAGATAATGTAGGTGGTAAACCCTGTGGGCTCTAGTGACCTTGTGGTAAGAAGCTGTGCTGCAATACCAAAGGTACACGGTTCAAGGCCATTAGCGGCTCTGCAGGAGAAGGATGGGCAATCTCTTCCTGTGTGACCCTCTTGCCTCTGCAAATCCATTGGAGGGTCAGCTATGGGTCAGTTACAACTTGACCGTACACAACAAGCACTGTGATCATGCCCACCTGTCAGTTTGCTGTGGTGCTGTGGTGACTCTGTGCCGCCATGATGCCAGAAGCTATGCCATCAGTATTTCAAACCCCAGAAGGTTCACCCACAGTCCACAAGTTTTAGTGGCGCTTCTAAACTAAGGTAGACCAGAAAGAAAAGTCTGGCAATTCTATTTCTAGAAATTCGCCAATGGCCACCTTAAGAATCATAACAGAATACTGTCTGATATAATGTTGGGAGATGAACTCCCTACACTGGAAGGTTCTCGAAATAATTAGCACTGAACATACCCATGACTGAACATGGTGAAGGACTGTGCAGTGCTTCATTCTGTTCTGTGTGGGGTCTCCATTCCTCAGAGCTGACTTGGCTGTTGCTAATAACAACAGGCAGCTCTGGTGGCTCAGTGGTAAGAAGTTGCACTGTCAACCCAAAGGCAAGTGATTCAAGCCCACCAACTGCTCCATAGGAGAAAGATGGGCATTTTCTTCCCGGGCAACTTACAGCCTCTGCAAACCCACTGAAGGGTCAGGTATGAGTTGGTTCTGATTCTATGGCACATGAGAAAAACCACAAAAAGAGCTGTGAGAGTGTGCATTTGGGCACCCAGAGAATGAGGGAACAGAAAGGCCTAGAGACAGCAGCAGAAAACTGTGCTAACATTCTGCCGGTTCTGATCTCCTTAAGATATGATGCAGGGGGTCACAACCAGGGAAGGTGAAAAGAGGGGCTGGGTACCTGGTGTTGATTTAGGGTCGGCAGAGGGAGCAGAATGTCACACTGAGAACATTTCCTCAGAATGTTGTAGGCATCTTCGTCGCCTGCAGAAGAAGAGGGCCTGGCCTTGGGCTCAGGCTTTAGAGGCCGATCCAGAGGTCGGGTTTTGCCTCTGGACTCTTGCTTTGTCGAATTTTCAGAAAGGAAAGTAAATCCATTTTTCATCTTTGGATAGACATCTTTCTTTGCCACGGATGTTCCATCTCCAGAAGACTTACTTGGACGGGATGGTGGGGCATATTTTGGCTTTTCAAATGGAGATAATTTTGTGGACCCTGAGAGTGGACCACATTTATCCTGCAATTGTAAATAATACGTTGAATTTGAAAAAAAAAAAAAAGAAAAAGAAAAGACTTCCACTTTAATGGCCTGATAAAACAATAAACAAGATCACTTGAAAACTTCCCACTACAAACACTTTAAAAAGGTTGGATAGAATTTGTGAAACATTCCTTTAAATGCATAGATGACTTTTCAACACAGAAAAGAAAATTCCCATGGCCCGTGAAAGATAGGTATATAAGCTGACAACTTTGGTTATAGGAGGAGAGGTGGGGTTATTTTATAGCTAAGGGATTTGAGAAGAGGAGAAAGTCTGAAAGCACAAAGTAAGGAACTGAAACAAAGACTCTCTAAATAAAACTGAGCCTTTTGAGAACTAAACTAAGGAGATTTAGGGAAAAGAAGTGGATAATTGCAAGAGGAAGGTCACGAGGAACCTTGATGACCTTGACCTGGAATTTGAGCATGGAGAGAAACACAATCTCAAAATCACAGACCGATACCTTTCTGGGATCTGCGATTCATGAGTGTCAGGTCTGGCCACAGTCAATCCAAAGGAGGAATGATAGTGGTCCTTTGATAATTGGAACATGGAATGTACAAAGCATAAATGCTGGAAAACTAGAAGTTGTGAAGAATGAAAGGCCACTCTTCTATGGCACTTCGAATCCACTAGCAGCTGGATTGGCAGCTGGGCAGAAAGGTGGATGCTCTCATCCCACGCAATTTAACAGCTTCAGATATCCAGTAGAGGGTCAGCTAGGAGTCGGCTCTGCCGTGACTGCAGTGAGGCTTCTACAGTATTGCTTTAACCAGAATAGATTAAATTAGCAGAATGAATATATGCAAAGGAATGGTGTGAAGAAGCTAAATCCAAGTCTTTAGATCCTCAGGACTCTCCTCCTGAAGTTTTACAGACTTAAAAACCCCACGCAGGTTGCCATGTATTGGAACAGACAGCAGTGGGATTACATTTTTAAGAAATCAATAGATAATATGTTAAACTGAGGGGAAATAAAGAAACCAACAAACAGAAGTTTAAGAAGCTGCTTTAGAAACACAGAGGTTAATCCCAGAAAAGGGAAGAATATTTGGGTCTGAGCAGTGGTTAGCATGAGATGGAACGAGTGGGGCTTATATTTTAACTGGAATTTTGTTTGTTGTCAGGTGCCATCGAGTCGACTATGATTGACAGGGGCCCCATGAACTACAGATCTGAGCCTTCCCTATGCTGTGCCATCCTCTGTCTCTGACACGCACAAGCCCATGGTTACAGCTACTGTGTCGATCCGTCTCATTGAGAATTTCCTTCCCTTTCTCTGACTGTCGCCTTCCCAGGTGAAAGACAACTCAAGGATCACAAAAAAGAAATGTTAGATAACAGGTAAATGGTTAAAACAGTAGAGGGAAGGTAAAGGAGATGGTGAATGGTGGAAGAAGGACACCATCTGAAATAGGTTGTCCAGGTACACCTTGAGAAGGTGACTTGTGAGTGAAAGTAAGATGTGTCCTTTCCAGAGATGCGTGATGGGAAGGACAATGTTTTTAGAACCAGGGCGCCTGAGTTCTTACTCCGGCCATCCCACTAGCTGCCTGTTGTGTTGTTCTTGTTATGTGCCGTTGAGTCGTTTGCGACTCATAGCGATCCTATGTGCAACAGCCCTAAACCCTGCTCTATCCTATGCCAATCGCACTGCCTCTGACACACCCATCCTGATTACCCCAGTCACCGAATCAATCCACCTTATAGAGGGTCTTCCCCTCCTGCGCTGTCCCTCCACCCGACCAAGCATGATGTCCCTCTCCAAGGACCCGTCCCTCCTGGCAACATGTCCAAAGTAGGTCAGACGAAGCCCCAGAATCCTTGCCTCCAAGGAGAAGCCTGATTTAAACCTCTTCAGGATGAATCTGTTTGTTTTCTTGGCAGTCCATGGTACATTCAATACTCTTCTCGAGCACCACAGCTCAAAGGCATCAGTTCTCCTTCTATCCTCCCTATTCATTGTCCAACTCTCTGATGCATAACAAGTGATTGCAAGACCATGGCCTGTATCAGGCGCACCTTAGTCTCCAGAGAGACACCGTTGCTCTTGATTACTTTAGAGAGGTCCCTAACAGCTGACTTTTCCATCGCAATATGTTTTTTTTATATTTCCTGGCTGCTGGTGCTAGGAGTGTTGACCGTGGAGCCGAGTAAACTGAAGCTGTGAACAATCTCAATCTCTTTGCCATTCATCCTGATGCTACCAATTGGTCCAGTGGTGAGAATCTTTGTCTTCTTGACATTGAGCCTCAGTCTGTACTGAAGGCTGCAGTCCTTGAC